TCCCCTCCCCACCTTGCAGCAGCTGTGAGTGTGAAGCCCCTGATGATGAATAATGGATGATGGGTGGTCTTAGCTCAGGAATCCTGACTGTCATTGGGCTGACTTCTCCCTTCGCTGGGTGCTCAATGAGGATGCAGCAGATCCACTCCCTGCAGGAAAGCGAGCCAAGCTGGCAGCCCAGCTCTGCCACACATGTACCAAGACTTCACTGACCCCAGGGGGCGACCCCATCAATGACAGACAGCCAATTCCACCGCACCAGGGGGCTTCACCTTGACCTTCCTTTCTTCTCCACACCGGCCATGGGCAAGGTGCTGCAGGTAAGTCTCCTGCTCATGGCATGGATCTCCTGCTCTGCAAGTCCTCACCTAGGGATGTCCTTGCTGAAGGAGTCTGAGTGATGCTTTGATTGACAGCTGGCTCATCAGCATCAGCAGCAACCACCAGCTCCAGCAAGAGAGGGCTTGTGCTGGGACTTGTGGTTCCTCTTCGGCTACAGAGCCACAGGTTAGCCACGGCACTTGTTGAGATGCCTGATGAACGACGCGGGCTGTGCGGTTGCTTGTTAACCCTTTCATCACCTTGCTTTTAGGGTAACGCCACGAAGGATTCCGTATAATCCTCTTAGCCCGTTGTTCCATTAATATCATTGTCACGCTGGCTTTGTATGCGACTTTCAGCGCAGTGAGCGGGGTGGCAGGCTGGAGCTGTTCCCACTTAGATCCCAGCTCACATGCCACCGTGTAGGGTGGTCTGTGTGTAACTTAGATTGCGGACCCTTAGTGACCTGTGCATTGACCCCCCCCATTCAGGATTATAGTGATTACCTGGATCAGATACCCTGGGAGCCTGTTCAAAATTTCAGGATTAACCCCTTGGCTGCCAGGTGATAGACGATGCAAACCTTCCAGCATTCACAAGGTCCCCCCCCACCCCATACAATGTATGTATAACACAATATTTGCCAGCCTGACCGCTTTGCACAGCAGGTCAATAATGCTCTGCTCCTGCTTTTCCCATGTAATAGGATGAATGAAACAATTAAGCAGAGTCAGGGCTCATGAGCTGCAGAAACAATGACATTTGCATAATTGCTCACGCTGCTTTAGGCTAACTTGCTTTAACTCCTTACTGACCAGGTTTTGTATATGCCTTTATGACCTTTAAGGACTCTGGGGAAATCAAAAACTTACCTGCGATGGAGCTACCCCTGGCACTGCAAGGGTTAAGTGCTCGTTTTGTCTAGGAGGCGAAAATAAAGCAGATGTACTTGCCCACCAGCTCCCTCTCAGCTGCTAGACAGGTCCACCCCAGTCTCTCTGGTGGTCCAAGGACCGCTGACATCATTACATTTTATGCAGGTGTATTAGACGTGGGGACCCCGAGTGACATACCACAGCCGGGGCGGAGGGGGGAGAAAGGTGAGTACTGGGGATCATGTGAGTAATACTTTATTATTTGAACCCCCCCTAGACAAAATGAGCACTTAAAGCAGAACTCCAGACACACATTTTATTGCCCCTTGCAGTGGGGCTACCCCTGCAGTGCAAGCGTTAACTGCTCATTTTTTTCTAGCTGCTAAAAAAAATATACTCATCTGATCCTTGGAGCTGGCTGAGGGGCAGGCCCGCTCTTAGGCTGCCCATACACCTTACAACCATCCCACGACTTTCGTTGTGCGATGGTTGTAAGGTCATTAAAATACGATCTTCCCATCTTGGACAGGCAGATCGTACTTGCGATCATCGCTAGCCCTCCCCGCTGAGGAGAGGGCTTGCCGATGATTGCAATGCTGAGTGGTCAGTGTGCGCTTGCGCACACCGGCCCGTGCGGCTTTCGTCTCCCGAGCACGTTACCAACCCGCCGAAAATTGTACGATTTCGGCAGATTTTCCATCGTGCTAGGAAGACGAAAGTCGTGCGACCGTACAGTAGATGCGTTCGCACGCTGCCCATACACCTGCTGATTATCGTACGATCGCGGGATCACCCGCGATTATCGTACGCTAATCGGCAGGTGTATGGGCACCTTTAGGCTGGTCCCTGGTGCCTTTCTCCCCCTCCGCTGCAGCAGTTTACAGACCCTGAGTCATCACAGTCTATCCACAGTGTATAGGACGTGAGGATGCCAAGGGACATTCCATGGCTGCAGCAGAGGAGAAGACAGGCAGGAGGGAGCGCTGCCAGCTCTTAGCATCGGGTGAGTATAACTTTTTTTTTTTTTAACCTAGACAAAAGAAGAGCAGTGCGGTGCAGAGGTAGCCTCGCTGCAAGGGTTAATGAAATGTGTGCCCGGAGTTTTACTTTAACCCTTGCAATGCCAAGAGTAGCACAACTGCTAGGGTGAGTTTGTGATTTTCCCAGAGTTCTTCTTTAGATCGTGTCTAAACCCAGCAACACAAATCAAATATATTGCAGCTTACCTGTGCTTAGATGTGGCGGCTGCATTCGTTTTCTATGTTCACACATTTTTCTCCCTTTATTTTCACCGGGTGGCTTCCTGTCCTAGGGTGACAATGCTCATTCACCATAATGTATCTATGAAGGAGCAGCATAAGACAGGACTACAGAACACCCCCGCCTCTCATCTAGAACTCAGTGGGCGGTGCTTGGTAGTCCTTAGGGATAGCTGTGAACAATGTGACTGAAAATAGCTCCAGCAGAAAGCACAAGAAGCTCACAAGATTTCTGGCAGCATCAACAGGTTATCGAACAGATATAACAAAACTATTTAGATGGTATATTTAACAGACCGAAAGGGACCAAATAAGAGAAGTTCATTGTTTGAGATGACATTTACTTTAAAAGGAGGAGTCCAAACACATGAATTGGGCCCCATTCATACTCGCGGCACACGTGAACGCGCAACATGCTTTTGCACATTTTGCTGCATAGGGCAGCCCGTTCATTTCAATGGGCCGCTCTACACATAAACAACGCGGTACAGAAGCTCATCCAGCAGGTTGAGCTGTGAGTGTCACATGTTTTTTGACATCGAGTTTACAAGTGTTTGTTCCATGTTAAAGAGCACGCCAAGAAGTTCAGTTTACCTGCTGTGTTTAGTAATGGCACCGCATGCGCGACACGTGCTTTTTGTGCGTTGCATGAATGTGCTCCGATGTGCAGGTTCAGACGCATTGCAAGTGTGAGTGGGGCCTTATCTTCATTAGGATATTATGTCATGAGCTGGTGAGTTTGAAAGGTGGGACCCTGCGTGGCCCCAAAACATTGGCTGTATGATGCATGTGACAATTTAATAAAAAGTGCTTTACTTCTTGCACATATCATCGAGTGCTGGTGACTTCTATTATGAAAGGTGGGAGACACCAGCTAGGAATAGAAATGGCTGGGATGGAAAGTGCAATTGTTTGAGGGCTTCATTGGCAGGCGTATGTGGCTTGGACAATATCTTCCGTTGTCCTCCAAATAATATGGGAATTGATATGGCATAAAAACAGTAGCCCATTCAATGCAGGCACCACAATTGGCCCCAACATCTGCCAGGAGGAAGGTGAATACACATTGGGCATTTGTAGGATTAAGAGTGACGGTAAAGAAGGAGATAGAAAAAAGCAGGGTAGGGTGGGGAACGGATCAAGGTAAAATGCAACTATGGGGTTCCTATGGACTTATGTGGCCAAAACCCACTAATAGTAGGAGATTACAGGTCTGTGAGAAGCTTGGCCAGTATGTTCATGCCCAGAAGGACTGAGCGCATCATGTAAACTTGTGTCCAAGGGTCCTGCACAACTGGGCACGTACACCATTGTGGCAGCAGGCAGGTTGGTATGTCTGTGTTCAGGTGTACTAATGAAGTTCTTCCTCTAGGGGGAAGTGCTGAGAGGGCTGGAGGCCCGAAGGTAACAAGTCCAGCTGAAGCTAGCTGGCTTGTTAGGGCCTCTACAAGAAGTCACAGCCTCCTAAGAGAAGGGCCCCACCCAAGAACCAGACTGTGTGTCTGGTGGACTGGGGAGCAGACAGCCTGTGTGGGGCAATCCGCCTGTGTGGCAAAGAAACAGCCTATGTGGCAATCTGCCTTTGTGGCAAAACAGCAGCCTGTGTGGCAATCCGCCTGTGTGGCCTGTGGACGTTTAGGTTAAAGGACCAACTTGAAGCCGGTGAGACTGAAAACTGTTGTTGACAGAAAACAGTTCTTTATGTTTGAGAACCACTGCGAGGGAACACCTGTATGGACTTTTCTTTTGAATTGAGCATTAATAAAAGTGGGCAAAGAAGCCCTTACAAAGTGAAAAGTGAGTGGCAGTGTACTGAATGTGCTACCATTTGAAGCGAATCCTCACACCATACAGTATATGCATAATACTTCCCTTTTGGGAGCAACCAATATGGCCAGGGACAAAGCTTTCCAAGCAGCTGGGTACCATTTACCAACGATACAGTGTTCATTTTCTTTTTAAACTAAGAACCTGTGTCAGAAATACCCCTCTAAGGTCACACCTGTGACCCAGGATTTAGTAAAATCAGACAGTTCCGGTAAAGTTTTGAAATTTGGGGTAAATCAATATAAAATGTGTTTCTCTGTCTTTGGCAGCTACTGAGGTTAGTGAAGTGGGAGGAATCTTGGCACATTTTGCATCCATCTAATCGATAATCGTACGATCGTGGGATTTCCCGCGATTATAGTGCGATTATCGTAAGGTGTGTGGGAGCCGTGCGACCTCTACTACTGTAAGGTCGCACGACTTTTAACTTACGAACATGTTTGAAAACCCGCCGAGCATCGTACGATGTTCGGCGGGTGTGTAGCATGTTAGTAAGATAAAAGCCGGACGGGCCAGTGTGCGCAAGCGCACACTGCCTGTTCGGCATTGCGGTCATCGGAAGCCCGCCCCTCGGGGGCGCGGCTTGCGATCATTGCAAGTACAATCTGCCTGTCCAAGATAGGCAGATCGTATGTTTTTTTTAAGTACCTTACAACCAGCGCAAGACAAAAGTCTTGCAATGGTTGTAAGGTGTGTGCCCAGCATAAGAATGTTCCTGTGCTCCGCAATGATTTCATAAGAAATGATACAGTAGATGATTACTGGATTTTCAGTTTTCTCTAAATAGTAATTTGCAGCTGAAATTGGCAAAAGTTTATTGAATTCTATGAAATGTGTTTAGGTTTTTTTTTATGATCATATAAGTATATATATATATAAATCAATCAATCTGCCCACCTAGTTCCCTGAATGTCCTAAAACCTAATAAGTCCTGGAATGTCTTCTCCATAGAAACCACTGGTTCGGAATCCCACCGAGGTTAGTCTCTCCTGAAACGGAGGATCAGCCATTGAAAAAATGAATCCTCTTTAGAAGAGA